CTGCCCCCAATAAAGAAAAGAAAGCGCCAATCAGCAGCACATCAGCATCGGGAAAAGAACGTAAAGGAAGAAGGCACAGCTCATTACCCAATGCAAGTAAGTGTTCGATCGATAACCACACAGGCAGTTGGGTGCCTTCTATCGGCTGCCAGAAGGACAGACAAGAGGGGGCATACTCACACTAGGGCTTTCAAATATGCCCCTGGATGTATATGACCGCTTTTCCGACCTCGCCTGGATGCACCTGACGGCAATTACGTCCAAGTGGAAACAGTATATATGTGGCTACAGGGAGGGAAGGTCTCCGGCGGTTGGTTCCTCTTGCCTGTGCCGAGCGAGCTCAGAGCGCACCCAAATGACTGTTTTTTTTTTTTTTTTAAGCTGCCTTCTCCGCATTTTGGGGGACAGGCATACATTTCTCTCTCCCCTCGCTTTTTTTTTTTTTTTTTAACTGGCGTTCTGCCGTGTCCTTCATGGAACATATCTTTCTTTTCAGAACCTACCTACCACTACTCCTAAGGCTGTACAGGGGATACTGATCATCACGCGTTCGAACCCGATCCTTGTTCGCATTGGTCCACATTAATTTGGTTTTCTGATACCTGATCAATCTGCGAGCCACCTGGGGTCTAGTCTCACTCGCAACCATTCTGCGGTCCTGGCCGTTGATCTTCGTAGTCTACGGCCAGAAATGGATCGAATCTGAGGAAGTGGGGACCTGGGCGGAAGTGGGAACTCGGCCCTGCACTTGCCAGTCAGCACGCCTCGATGAACAAGGTTGCCATATTGATTAGTATGGTAAGATCTAGCTTCGATTGATTTTTTTTTGAATTAAAAAAGAAAAAGGGCGACGGCCTTGGGATATCATCATTAAGCTGACCGGCCCCAGGCAATTCAGAAATAGTTGGTTGTACAACTTTACTGGTCAAGTTCCATCATCTGGATTTGAACACAGGTCCGTATTTTGAACAGCTCATGGCCGTACCCACTGAGCTAGGCTCTTGGGTTTTTGCTTCGATTATTTGAAAAGGAAGAAAAGGAAAAAGGAGATCTTGCTTCAATTCTTTGCTGCCACACAGCCTCGCAACCCCTTGTTTGGCTAAATCAAATGTCCCTTTTGTGACCACCTTATTATTATCTGCAATTAATTTAATTCTCCGCCGTTTGTTTGCGCGTAATGCTCTTGCTTGCATCCTTTTGTCAATCACTCTTTTTCGCCCTTCATTATCAGTTGTTGATTATTTTTTTCCTTCATCGACAGTTTTGTTGATTTCCCTTTACCGCGCTCACCTTGTAAGCGACACGGCGGCACGGCGGCAGTACACAACTCTTTTGTTATTATATAAATCCACCGAGTAACTCAAAATTTTATAATTTGCCCCTCCTGCCATCGGCAATCCCCAGGCTACCTGCAGCGAGCTCGTTAGTCAAAGAATAAAGATTAGTCAAATAATATTAATAACTGCGACAGTGAGCTCATTACTCGAAGAAAAAAGAACTGCCGTTCTTCAGGTTCTCTCCGATGGCAAGTAAGAAACTACTACCGTCTTCTCCCCCCCC